GAAGTGCTAACTCACAGGGGCCCATTGGTCACTCACAGTGGGGAGTGCTCACTCACAGGGTGGGGGGCATGCTCACTCATGGGTGAAATGCTCACTCATGGGGGGGAGTGCTCACTCATGCAGGGGGGAGTTCTCACTCGCAAGGGGAGTGCTCACTCACGAGGGACAGATTTCTAACTCACAGGGGGCGCAGAGTGCTCTCTCACAGGTGGAGTGCTCACTCATGGGGGGAGTGCTCACTCACAGGGGTGGAGCTYTCACTCACACTCACAGGGGGAGTGCTCACTCATAGGCGGGGTAGGCTGAACGGGCAGATGCAGTGCCAAGGATGAGGCTGTGATCAGTCAGGCAACGTGTCCCTTCAGCTCGCTCAGTCCCTGGCTACCACTCATGCACCAGGCCACGCTGTGGCGGCAGAGCCAAGGCCAACCTGGCGCTCTGCCTTATCACTATTGGTAACACTTATGTCATGATCCACCAACAGGCRGTAGAGAGAGGAAACAGCCATCAGTCCCATTGCTATTGGATCTAGTGAGCMATGTTGTTACTGTGTCTGATTCCCACCTCCGAGCTCTATTATTTCTTCAGGACAGACAGGAGCAAACATACCAACTCTGTTCAAAAATCAGTTATCATGGTGAAGGTGCTGAGATGCCTGTGGTTTTGCAGTGTAGGTTGTTAAGCAAAGGAAGATGAAGTGGAGGAAGGAAGAGGAAGGAAGTGTTTCCTTSTATACCTCATTTTCAGATAAATTTTGCACTCCTTTTTTTTTCCCTTCACACCTCACTTTTTCCTTCCCCCCCGCCGCCCCATTCCRGGTCTCATTAAGCAGTAGGATGYTRAGGTCTGTAGTTTTCTGCTTCCTCACTTTGMACCCTTTGCACAYTTCRATATTTCACCAGCTCTGAGTGCACTGTGTCCCACAACAGGTAACGAAGGGATATCAGCAGGACAGAAACCCACTGCCTCTAAACTTTAATCTAAAACTTCAGCCTGGAGAAGAGAAAGTTGAGAGGGGATCTGATTAACATGCATAAGGGAGAATGTACATGAAGGGAGAATATAGGGAGGAAGGGGCCAAGCTCTTCTCAGTGGCCACTGACAGGACAAGGGATAATGGGTCTAAGTTGAAACACAGGCAGTTCCATCTCTATGAGAGGAAGAACTTCTTCCCTGTGAGGGTGCCAGARCCCTGGTACAGGCTGCCCAGGGAGGCTGTGGAATCTCCTTCTCTGGAGATCTTMCAAACCTGCCTGGATGCCGCCCTGTGCCCCGTGCTCKGGGTGTCCCTGCTGGAGCAGGGGGTTGGACTAGATGATCTCTAGAGGAACCTTCCAACCTCAACCACCCTGTGATTMTGTGATTCTCATTCACTGTTTTCAGGGCTCTGGTGGAGGATACCTTATGCTGAAAGAACCACCACCACCTTTGCCAAAGAACCACATTTTGTCACAAGCATTTTTCCTTCCCTGTCTGAACTAACTCTCACTAAGGATTCACTTTTTCAGGCTGACGGTTCATCAGGAAGGGCACTGAGGCCACCTTTGCCTCCACTGCTCTCCTCAGCTGACTCTGTGCAATCTTTGGATGAAACACAGTGAAGAGCATGATAGATTTATCCTTTTATCCTAATGATACCTTTTTCAGTCTCCTCATAGTATTTCAAAACACTGTTTGGCTTTCTACATTTTTTTCCTTTCAATCTATTTTAAGTTTCCTTTTCTTTATACTCTTTCTTCAATCCCTACTTCACACCCACACTTGTTTTATGCTTTCCCTGCCTCATCACTTTCCCASGTCTCTCACCGCTTCTGCAAGAACTCTACAATAAATTGCTTTTGGATATAGCAAGATTTTCTTCAGCACGTCTCAAGTTCGTTTCAAAAACCAACAGCCCCAAAGCTAAGCTTTTTTGAAAACCAAAATAGCCTCGAGCTGGGTTGTCAAGGCCTGCAGAGAAAGACTGGTTTGTTTGATTATGTTAACAAGCCTTTTAAAAAGCTAATAGGATGTTCCTGTCAAGTAGTAGCAATGCACTGGTACTCATGGATCCCACCCAGCTACCCACAACCCCCACATGCGTGTTCCCATCTCTTCTCCGATTCACTAACAACCGTCTCTTGCAGCTCTCCCAGCCCTGCTGCCAGACCTTTCTTCCTCCTCCTCCTCCTCTTCCTCCTCCTTCTTCCTCCTCTTGTCTTCCGTCATGGAGTTCTTGAGCCAGGAACACCCATGGCCACCAGCAACACCCCAAGGTCAATGTGGGGAAAAGCATTAGCCAAGAGTAATAGAAATCCTCCAATCCTGCCTGCTGCGGGTGCTTAAGCAATGCAAGAAGCAGAGCAGGTGAAAATTGAGGCTTCCCTGTTATAACTTCCCGTTTTCCAGTTGGGAGATTTAGGGGTTGACTGAGCCAGGGATTGCATCTGCAGCACTGGATTTATCCTCCATGAATTTGTCTAATGTATTTTTCAGTCTGTTTATAATTTGGTATCCCTAGTAGCAACTGGCCTGAGCTTCACTATTTAATTACATGCTGTGAGAAAAAGCATATCCTTTGGTTTGCTTTAAACCTTTTTTTTCTGACAGTTTTACTCATTCTCCACAGTTCTTTTTGTTATGAGAACTTGTGAATAGCTATTCCACCATTCACCTCTACATAATAAATCATTTTAATAAGCCTTTTCTTATAAGGTATAAACATTTCTTCTTTTTCTCAAGCTGAAAAAAAAATCTATCTGGTGAAGCTTCTCATCATAACTTGATTACCCTTTTCACACTTTATACTTTTGACAAGTCTAATATGTTCTTTTTGAAATAATGGCTAACGTAACATCCAGTAATCAAGATAAAAGCTTTCTGTGGATTCATATAATGCCAGGATTCATTGTATTTCTCTTGCTGAAGACACTAGGCAGTGAAATTTTCTCTCTTTTTCAGCAAATCGTTCAGTCTCCAGGATGTCTATTCTTCCCACTAGAGAGCTTTACTTAAGTGATGCTTTGCATTGAATTTTTTTCCACTCCTTTATTACTTACTCACTCGGCATCGTGACATTTTCTTGCAAATCTTCATAGTCTCTTTTTGGATCTGGCTGCCCAGAGTAATACTCTGCCACCTGCAAAGTCTGCCACCTCACATTTCACTCCTGTTCACTGGGATAGTTAAGGGTTTGTTGAAACCACAGCACTCTGTACAACTCCACTAGGAATACCACTCTGCCCTACCATTTCACCATTTCGTCTGCATCGTGTTTCTTTTCACCAGTTATTAAGCCACATCAATATCTTTCCTCTTATCCCACTGTCACTCTTTTCTTTTCGAGCCTGTTAAAAACTCTATAAAACTTATAGCTCTGCTATAACAAACAAATAAATCTTATTTTCGTTACCCAACAAGTTATTTTATATTCACATTTTCTTTCAAGCTCTGCCACCAAGATGTGAATCCACTTTGAAATTCAGGCATGTGGAATGCAAATTGGAGGTAAATGAGCAAAATGATAATTTGCACATATTTCTGGAAGSAAAATCAGCTGCTGATACTGAGCTCTCATGCAGATGACCCCTCAGGACTCATTCTAAAGCAGACAGGAGGAGGATGAGCCTAACGAGAGGGCAGAATAAGCAGGATGACCCTTCTCATTGGAAGTGAGAGGACAGTTCCCCACCTCATCCACTGCTCACTCCTGCTTTCTCTAGACCTCTCAAAGCCATAAGATCATTCAGGCTTGAAATGGAAACATCCATTTTAAACACTTTTAAATGACTCCCCTTGGGGACTTACTGTTCAATATGATATCGCCATTTACTGCCATTTACACGGCTTTAAAATCAGCTCACACATTTTGTCGACATTGGCTCATTTCATGGGTTCTGAGCGTATCTTACCTGTTAGTGAGGCCAATAAGATGAAAGGAAGTAAAATGAATTTCTGACACCTCTCCATGGGAGCATCCTCTCCTGGTCCCTAAGACAGAAAGTCATGAGCAGTCATTGCATGTTGAAGAAGAAACTGAAGGATTTAACCTATTGAGAAGCTCAGTAATGAGCTGCTGCTTTGCATTTTATGATAAAATGCAACTTTGTGCGACCTATATTACAAACAAGTGGAGATGATTAAACAAGGCAGGGTTTGGGGGGAAAGAAGTATCTTTTATCAAAACAACTCTTTGGAAAGAAAATGACCTACACCCCTAAAAAAAGTAGTAATGTAATTTCCTCTGAGCGTTTAATTGCAAAACTAGCATGCCTGTTCGTACTGCCCAGCAGGCTTTCTCCAGCTTGCACAAGGCACTGCTGATGGGAGGACTAAATGCTCCATTTGCAAAGCATGAGCTGATGCAGAGACCCTGGAAAGGGAGAGAGCGGAGCCCTGACCTCTCTGAGGGTTAACAGCTGGAATTATTCACCTGTACCATGTCTTCTCTCACGGTAGGAAGGAGCCCTACCATCACTGCTGCTCCATGGGCAGGGAGAATGACTCCTGCATCCCACCTGGCTCCGGGCAAGGGTGAGGAAAACTGAACCTCCTCCTTGGTACTTGGCATGAGCCATCAGACTTAGCAAGGCAGCAGAAGGCTCTCAGGGCTATTGCTACAGACCCGAGTCATGTTCCAGGAAGTTTTTTACATCCCCATATGAAATACCGCAGATTTCCAAAGAGGATGGCAATAAGGGATGGAGACTGGGTGGGAGCCATCACTTAATTTCTGCATTTTTTGTTTTTCTACTGGTGGTGACTCACTTCTCTGATATTATTCTCCTCCCCCTCAAAATACGTGGGAGACAGCATCGCTGTGGCACTTGGTTTACAAACTTCACAGTTGGGAAATTCAAGTTTGCATTTGTGGAAGGCGCACAGGCCAAAGGAAGCCATTTCCCAGASCAAACTTCTTGTCGGGGCAGTGCTATGGTTTTCAGAGGTGTCCCTTACAGGTAGCTCTACGGTATGCATAAATACGAGTATTCCCATGGTGAGACACCACGAGGCAACCTTTCGCCCCCATTTTCACTGCACCAGTTTCCAGTGGTGCTTTTGCAGATCCCTAGGAGGCTTTTGGAGCGAAGGGGCGGGCAGCAGCAGGTAGGAGGAGGCTCCGTGAGGYAGCGCAGCGCGCGGCAGCCGCCCCACAGGCCGAACAAAACCGCCTTTGTGGCCTTCGCCGTAGCGTCTCGCTGGGCTGCTGCTGGCTCGGTTTCGCTTACTGTGTCCTGGACAATTTCACTATTTCCGTGGATACCTGCTGCCTTTCGSATATTTGTGACAAAAGAGGGGTGAGGGAGCAGTGTGGCTCTGCAAGGGATTTCTCCTTTTCTTTCACTGCCTCAGCCCAAGCACACCCACAGTKGTGCTTGCGTGTTGTCATTACCACTGTGTTAACGACAACGACAACGGCGCWAGGAAACCACCAGGAAACAAAACTCCCAGTGTGTGTCCTGCCCTCCCCGAGGAGGGTGCAGCCGCAGGCAGGCCGGGCTGGTCCGTGGGCCAGCCCTGTGCCAAGGCAGCCGCCCACGGCTGCAATCCCATTTATGGAACCAGCTGCGTGAGTCTAAACGGAGCTGGGGGAGGTTTCATGGAGAAGGAGAAACTTGCCTAGATTGCCTCAGTTCAGGTCAAAATCAGTAAATAGTTTGGAGTAAAGTGAAATGAGAAGGGAAAAGAGAAGTTRCATAACTTTTTGTTTCTGGCTTTCAAAGGCTGGGAAATATTACCCAGTCCCTAAGTGGAGCAGAACATTGTGCTTTGCTACCAAGCGAATCCCTGGGCTTTRGCTTGAGCTGCTTTTCATGTTATTCCGCTGTCTCCCATGACTCTGCAGGTTAATGTACGACTCACATAAGGAACATTTCGAGCCAGTAAAATTAATCTCAAGTGACTCGCCCTCCATCAGAGCGTTTTCCTTCTCTTTTTCTCACTGGAAGCAAGATSACCCTAAGCAATTTGAGGTGCTGCCTTCCCAAGGGTGCCTGTGTGGTGCCTGGGGTGTTGCTCAAAACCTGATTTCAGCAGGTTTTGTGGCGTGATAGGGATAGCGCCACAGGGGAAAGCTTGGAGGAGCAGAGGAGAGGGTTAAATATTACAGCAGCTGCGGCTCCTCATGCCAGGAAATGTGGTAACCGCTTTGGAGCACTTAGCTACCTGGATCGCCTTSCGGAAGGCTCGCTCTGCTTTCAAAACCAGCCCTGTTTCCGAATCCAGGGACTCCGTCCCGCGCTCTTTGCTCTGCCAATGCCAGGCGAGCCCAGCAGAGCCCTCTAAAACACCGTGAGACCCTGCCAAGGCTCAGCCTTACCCGTGAGACCCCACCGAGGCTCAGCCTTACCTTCTCACCCGGAGGAGACCTTTCCCCGTGGCGCAGGCGGCCCTTGGGAGTGCTCGCGTGAGCAAACACCCGTTTTCCCAGGCAAGCCTCTCCGCGTGACACTCGCTTGCGCKGTCGCTCGCTGGGCGGTGGGGATTTCAGCGTGCTCCTCGGCCGCGGCGGCGCGACGAGGTTTTGAGCGCGGGTGCCGCCCGGCCAGCCTCCGCAGCGCGCCTTCGCGGGGACATCGCGGCGGCGATAAGATAAGGCGCCGCTTCCACCCCGAGCACGCACCTTGTCCYGTGTTAATATTTAAGCCATCCCATAGAAGGAATGGCAGCTTGCCGGGGACGGGAGCAAACTTCACATGACACTGCGTGGGGAAGCTGGGCGAGTGACGACACCTAATGCCTTCACACAGGACTGCTGCGCTGCTGGTGCTTGGTACAGCCGATAGYCATTGCTCCATGACCATGGAGGGCTGGTGTGCTGGTAACGTGCTGAGGACCAAGCTCTCCTCGCTGTTACAGAAACACACAGTGAGCCAGGATGGGCTGTCTCTGGATAGGCATGGGTCTGGGGACAAGGCTGCAGTGCGGGAATCACAGAATCACAGACTGGAAGGGACCTCTAGAGATCATTTAGTCCAACCTTCCTGGTCCAGCAGGGACACCCAGAGCATGTGGCACAGGGCGACATCCAGGCGRGTTTTGAAGATCTCCAGAGAAGGAGACTCCACAGCCTCCCTGGGCAGCCTGTGCCAGGGCTCTGGCACCCTCACAGGAAAGAAGTTCCTCCTCACATGGAGATGGTACTTCTTGTGTTGCAGTTTACACCGATTACCACTTGTCCTGTCACTGGTCACCACTGAAAAAAGTTTGGCCCCTTCCTCCCTACATTCTCCCTTCATGAACTTATACATGTTAATCATATGCCCACTCAGCCTTCTCTTCTCCAAGCTAAACAGGCCCAGCTCAATCAGTCTCTCCATATATGAGAGATGTTCCAGTCCCTTAATCATCTTCATTGCCTTCCACTRGACCCCCTCTAGAAGCTCCATTTCCCTCTTATACTGGGGAGCCCAGAACTGCACACAATATTCCAGCTTCTATCCTCTTCCTCCTATACATCCTCTTTCCTCTAGCATCCTTCTCATTATGTCACTACTGGTCACAAGTGAACTGATATGGTAGATCCAAAGATCCTTATGAAGAGCCTCATCTATGAAGAAGGACCATGTAAGCCTCCTGAGCTAGGCATGGTGRCGGTTCTAGCTAGTAGAAATTAATGTCACGCTGACTCAGAATGAAAAGATGCAGTTCRGCAAAGGGAAATGTGACATTTTATTTGGAGGATTTTGATTCATTTCCAGAATGAAATTTCAAAAACTTCCTGTTTTATTAGAAGAAAATGTCACCCTGACTTGTTAAAAGAAAAACAGTGAAATCTGCAGGAAGTTTTTCAGATCCACTTTTTTTTTTTTTAACTTTTGTAATTTACTTTCTTGCTTTTCCACACATCTCTTTTTTAAAGACTACAATCTCTTGCTCAGCCAATAAGTCTACTTTCATAATAGTATTCTTGAAATAATTTGATGGATAGTTTGATTTTCATTTATACCAGACTGGAGGAATAAAAGGGAAAAGGTCTAATAGGTAGGTATCATCTCTGGTTGCCCAAGAAGGAAAAGTGCAAAAGGTTTAAATGGTTTGATTGCATCTTCACTTAAGTTTCAGGGAGACATTCTGAACCTGTAAAATAGCTTCAGAAATGTCATAGGATATTTTAAAGCTTTTACAAAACTCTTAAGAATTTCATATAATCAGGTTTTGGTCCATTTCTTCATCTAGTTCCCTGGTCTGTTTTTCTGATTTTCCTATTTCTRTGTCCTGTTCTACATGAAATACCTGTCTGTGCCCCATGCCCAAGCACAGCCCACCTTCGTTGTGTGGGTGGTGTAGGAGTTTTTSTGTTTTTAGGRCTTAATAAGTTAGAGAGCTTAGCGAAAGTAGATGATATAGTATAGTATACGGCATAGAGCTTAGGGCATGGTGCTCGGAAGATCTCGCGATGTCACGGGAGTTAGGAGCATAATTAATTTATGCAGTTTACTGATAACCCCATGCCATACAAGGCGAAAAGTAGAAATTAGTCTCCCGATTGGGCAGTAGGTGAGTTTCCGCATTCAGCTGGAGTATATAGGCAGACTGAACTGCGCAATAATCGCCATTTTGCTGCATCCCCCATACTGGTATCTGTGCTCTGGGGCCCAGGGGCGCGGACAACCCCAGATCAGTCCAGCTAGCGAATGAGGCTTGCCGACCCCCGTCGGCAACAGGGTGGGTTGCGAAATGTCCTGCCGTGCTGCTCAGGAGGATTTTGTAGCCTTTTCGGGCACCACACAGTGCTCACTCATGGAGGTCACTAGTCCAACCTCTCTCTCAGAGTAGGAATATCACCGCAGCTCTGTCCAGCCAGGTCTTKTGAAGCTCCAGGTGTGGAGGGTCCTACATGGCTTCGGTGACCTGTCTCAGTGCATCGGCCTCCTGGAGGGCAGATGAGCTCTGTCATCTTTCTGATTGGCCTTTAGGCCAATATAAGCTGCTCTTTGATCACCCTTCTGATCAAATTAAACAAGCCTTGCACCTTAGCATCGCCTTATGGGTCCTGCGCTCTAGGCCCTTGGTGGTCTTCCACCACTAGATCTGTGCTATCTTCTCCACATCCCTCTTGAACTGAGGGGCAAAACAGCACCCACAGGTTTACAGTTATGGCTAGTGRAGGAGAAAAATGTCTCTGAATTTGCTGGCAAAACTTCTCTGAAAGTAACCTACTATGTAGTATATTTGCATTGAGAAGGCAATGCCTATTCTTGTTGTTTACTTCATTCTGCTTACTTCATCACGATTTCTGTCATTTCCCAGCCAGTACCWCTGAGGCCTGAATACATGGGCATGTTGCACCCAATGTGCAGAGCTTTATACTTCTCCACGTTGGGCTTTGTGATGCTTCTGTTGTCCCAGTCTCACATTTATTGATGTCCCACTAAACATTGATGTTGCTGCATCTGTGCTACAGCTGATATTAAAACACTCGTTTTTAACAGGTTGATTAGCTGTCTCTGTACTACATTGCAGTCTACCATGAACCACAGCTCATCCATACCCTTAATCTTGGACATGAACTAAAATCTATACAATACCCATTATAAATTCCATGAACGCCAGGGTATTATGTCACATTGACAGAGGAGGCATTTTGTCACTAAATGATTTTGAAAATTCAAATGGTGTTATAGTCCATAGAGGACCAAGACTTATTTGTTACTCCATTAGCTACATCCAATGTAGGGTCCAATGAATCCCTATATAGCAGATAGCAAACATTTGAAGTCTCCACAGGCCAAAAGTTCCTTGGTGCTGGTATTTCTGATGGTGAGCAAGAAGTCCATGGATCTGAGAGAAGCCCTACCTCATGCATCAGTGTTGGGGAGAGCTTTTTAAAAAACTCATTCTCCCAACTTATTTTTTGGGTGGGAGAAGGGTTCCTGACTGATTGGACATCAGAAAAC